ACCCTCTCTTATAATTTTCCATTTACAATTTTTTTCTTAATATCGACTTTTTTATTTTTCAGATAAATTCAGTGTAGGTGCATCTTAGATAAATAAATAATTTTACATAACAAGTTATCTTAAAGACCATAGACATGGATTGACGAGAGAGGGGAAGAGCAATTTCTATGCCTCTGCCTTAACTCTCCCTGCCTTCCTAGATCCGACCAGTGTTTTGGTTTCATCCACATATGCTTGTGAATCTTTGTTCTCAGTGATGAATTTTGTTAAGTCTCGTAATAGGAGTAGCCTGACGGATGAAAGTAGTAGCTCGTGCATATCTCTGAAGGTCACGAAATATAAACCTGATGTAAAATCTCTGTCATCAGTGATGCAGCAGCAAAAGTCCCACTGATAATATCAAACGGAGTCATAAAGTTTTCTGTCGGACTATCAGTGTACATGTATACATTAAAAAATAAATGTATTTTTCATCATCATATACTGTGTTTTTGTCGCTCGAATGAATTTTATTATTTCTTCAAGGTTCTTCACATACGTACACCTTAAGAGATGTCAAGTAGGCGTAACATGTTCTCAAAAAATTAGGGTTGGCACGCAGAAGAATTTTGAGTCAGATTTTGCTGGTTTTGGCACGCACTCACAAAAAGGTTGCCCACCCCTGATCTAGGCTAAAAGTTCTTTGCTGACAGAGATCATTATTTTTTAGACTAAAGTGAAATACTGGACATAGAATAGGCCCTTAATAATAAAAGATTATCTCGCTTAAAAATGCAAACAAAAAAATTTTAAGTCATTTAAAGTAGTATTTTATAACTATTTTTGATGAGGTAATATTATTACATTCACTCTCATTTATAGAATTTTGAACCTCAAATTATCACTTCAGATTTTTACACTATTCAAAAATAGATTTGCAGGAATAAAACTGTCCTACTCTACCACATGTATGTAATATAACCTAAATTTGTTTCTATCATGGCAGTTAAACATACACTTTCCAGAGGTTTCCACATAAATTTACAATATTTTACTTTCCCCTTTGCTTTTATGAGTAATGTCAGTGTACAGGATTATTTGCAAAATAAATATCCAGGGTGGACAAAAGTAGGTTTACAGTTGTGGATATGAAGTTTATTCTTGTATTATTATTTATTAACTAGTGGCCTGGTGCATGAAATTTGTGCAGGCGGGGGCGGGGGGTGCCCAGCCTGCACCCTCTCCAATCGGGGACCCCTTGGGGGATGTCTGACTGCCAGTTTAGGCCCTCTCGCAATCTGGGACTCCTGGCTTCTAACCACTCACCTGCCTGCCTGCCTGATCGCCCCTAACTGCCCTCCCCTGCCAGTCGGATCTCTCTCCCACTGCCCTCCCCTGCTGGCCTGATCTTGCCCCCAACTGCCCCTGCCTGCCTGATCACCCCCGACTGCCCTCCCCTGCCGGCCTGATCTCTCCCCCAACTGCCCTCCCCTTCTGGCCTGATCTCGCCCCCCAACTGCCTCTGCCTGCCTGATCACCCATAACTACCCTCCCCTGCTGGCCTGATCTCGCTCCCAACTGCCTCGGCCTGCCTGATCACCCCTGACTGCCCTCCCCTGCTGGCCTGCTCTCGCCCCCACCCGGCCCCCCCCCCCCCCCGGCCCCGCCTTGGGGACCAGGTCCTGTGCTTACCCAGTCTAATTAGCATATTACCTTTTTATTAGTATAGATTATATAGGACAGGATTGCTTAAATGGGGGTGGGGAGCCTTTTTCAGCAGGAGATACTCTTGGCAGACAAAAACACATAATCCCTATATCTGGACTGATAGCCAGCCATATGCACTGTAGTGCCAAACCGGTCATTAAAAACCCTTAAAACCCCTCCTCAGCCCCCACCTTAGGTTCTGCCTTCGCAGTTCACCCAGATTTGGTTCTGATTGGTCGGTTTCTATGCTAGTCAGTGTCTCTGGGCCTATCTCTGGGCCTGATCAAAGAGGCAGGGTTGATAAGCAGCTCCGCGGAGGCCCAGAGAGAAACAGGCGCGGCTGTTGGCGAAGCCTGGAAAGAGAGAGGCAATGGCTGATCAACAGCTGCCACGGGGCTGGGGATCAGACCCTGCCTCTCTCTCTCTGAAGGCCTCTCTCCGGGCCTGATCCACAGCCCCCTCAGCAGTCAGTGCTGGGTTGCTGTGCTGGCACCAGCTGCAGTTAGTGCTGGGTCGCCACAGCAACCCAGCACTGACTTCTGGTGTTTGGTCGAGCCTTGGTCGTTGTGGACATTACGGACCCTGGCTCTTTATATATATAGATTATATTATTTTCCATACAAACAACTGTAAAACTGCCTTTGCCCCACCCTATATTGAAGGCAAACAACTCAGTTCTAGGATTATAAAATTTGGGACAAGATAACCAAATTCAACCTCTTATTTACTTAAAACTGAAGACTGGAGAGACAGCAACTTGGTCAAGGTCACACAACTAAGCCAAAGCAGAGCCAATTTTTAAGTATATGATCACACTAACTTCTCTGGGATAGGAACAATGTAAGCTTCTGTTTGCATTGTCATTCCTCTGGAAAAGTAACCAAACATAATATTCACAAATTATGAATTTGTGCATTTTACTGCATTATAACCTTTTGTTCTGCTTCATTTCATGG